AGCAGCACACATGTTCACAGGAGTGGTAAAACAGCGACAGCTATTTGAGCTCAGGGGTGCGCTTCCACCCAGGTCCAAATCCCGTATCTCAAAGCTTTGCTCAGATATGCCTCATCTTGGAGGAGCTGCGGAGCTCCATACACACTTTGTACCAGCAGTAGACACAAAACCCTTTCAGAACAGTGGCCAGTGTTAGTCTCAGCTGGCATCCCAGCAAATTTTACATAGAGGTCCCAGGGTTTTAGTTCTGCTTCTGCAGATATCTGGGTTAACAGGGCAAATTAAGGTATTTCTATAAGTAAGCCTTCCACAAGCCAAAATTCAATAGCAGCAGGTCTATGTGGATTCAAAAGTTCTTAATTAAAAATCACAGAATGATTGAGGCTGGAAGGGACCTTGAAAGATCATGTAGTCCAACCCCCCTGTTCAAGCAGGGTCACCTAGAGCATGATGCTCTGTGTGCCAGTCTTCTTTGCACCAGGCCTACCATTCCCCATGTTCACCCGGTTTCCTCAAAAAGGTTGTGTCCCGGAGGTATAAGCCTCTTCCCTGCTTACTTCCCCTTGCTGTGGACACAGGAACTCTTCCAGTTCAACCACAGGGGTGCTTCTTCCGGCAGGCATGGCTTTCCATACCATTTGCTTCTTCTCTTGTCCAGTCTACGCTTGTGAAATCAATTACGCTCCCTCTCTCGCAACTCAGAGACTGTGCCTCTGCACACTGTTGTAATGAATCCTTTCTTCCACAGTCACCCTACAGTGCTGCACCGGGAGCCTTGCCTTTCCACAGCATTTTCACCAAAGCACCCCTTTTCTTCCATTCCCGGGCAGCCACCCTCGCTCTCTGCCGTCCATGAGCACAGGGGTTTCAACTTCACCTGCAGACATTTGTTGGACACTCTTGGCCTGCAGTCACATAAAAATACATTGGGAAGCTGCAGGTTTCATTTTCTGCTAGCTTTAGATTTCCCAAGGCCAGTGTAAGAAGAGTTTCATCCCAAATATAATTACTGAGGATAAAAGAATCCATAAGCTTCTTGCTTCAAAGGAATATTTTTCAATTTCTTTGCAAGTTCTGACAGGCCCATCATACAAATTACAAATACATCGAAACTGTTTATACTGTTTATACTGTTTCCACATGCTACTTTGTTGATAGCAAAGATGAGTCACCCCTTACCTTACTGTTCTTTCACAACTCATTAGTAAGGGAGGATGTGGAAACACCATCCTTGGTGAAATTCAAAACACCAAAGGGCAAGGCCCTGAGCGATCTAACGTCTATGAATGATAGCATGTAAAAAGTTATTCTTGACATTTAGAGATTAGCTAAGAGAACAAGTTTCCTAGATAAATTCTGGGAACGGTTACCAAAAGCATACTGACTATGCTATTCTAATCATGGCTTCCCAATAACTGTGCATACAGTGCTTAGAAGGTGCTTTTTTGCAGTCAAAGCTTGAATTTCGGGAATTGAGAGAATCTTAAACTGAAGTGTTTAACCAATTGAATTGCACTGCTCTGTGTGAGTTTTCTGCTGAGTGATTCGGAGGATGATATTAGGTAAACAGTAATTTTTTTGAAATGAAATAATAGGGTTCATTTCTTGTTATTGGTCTCAAATATTTTATAAAGCTACTTACAAAATTTACAAAATGTGGGATTGTCTTAGTTTATTAAAGGACTGAGTATACTTTATTAATGACTGGGAATAAAACCTATAAAGATCATTTAGCCTGTGTCAGCTCTCTGCTTTTTGATATTATCCAGATGCAGAAGTTTATGTTGCTTTTTCTACTTCTCTCTCCTGACTCCTGGTATTCATCCCCATCTCATGATGTTTTGCAGATGAACCAAAGTCAGTTTGCTCTCCATCTAAGTGATGCAGTCAACTAATCTGATCATAAGTTTGTTTTAGCAGCATTTACTGACCCACAAATACCGCTGATACCTATCAGTTCAATTTGCTTCTACATGCTTGGTACAATTTGCTGTGGCTAGCAAGTCTGTTGTTTAAATTGACAGTAAGATTTCCCATCCCCCAAAACTATATTATGTACATAATCAACTCAGTGCGATTCAGCAGCAGATATATTTTACAGTAAGAATAAAATTACTTTGTTTAAAAAAGGGACACTTTATTGAAATTAGTTCTAAATACATGAATGTAGAATATTATTTTAATGGCTTTATTTTTTTTATTGGAAAGGTAAACAAACCTAAATCTTCATAGCAATTAGCAAGACAGAGAAAAGAAATATAATTTGAATGTCATGTATATCCAAGACAAACAGATGAGACAAGATCTGAAACTGAACATGCAATAAAAACAATGAACCAAGTGATCCTTTATAATAAAAGAACCTGAAGAAATTCAGATAAAACAATTGAGAGAAATTAATACGACCTTCTAATAAAATGAAAAATACACAGACCATTCACAGTCCATCATTACAGCTTTTAAGCTATTGTATTACTACGGTAGCTCCACAACTTGTGAAGCAGTTTAGCCAAATTAATAGAATACTTTGTGATAAGTGCAATTAAAAAAACTCTGCATTCCACTCAAAGCAAGAAGATTGCATATGGATCTTAATTCTCTTCAGTATGATTCAATAAACACTAAACAAAAAGCATAGCTACCAAAGGGGCTCTGTGAGAACCAATAGCATCCACCAACAGCTTTGTATGGTGTGTGTGGGTGTATGTGTGGGTGTGTGTATGTGTGTGCGTGCGCACACACGGGCATTCCTCTCTTATGAACTACAATCATCTAACCGATTTTGGCTTGTAGATATTTCCATTGAAAGTCTGAAATATTTACATTTGAAGTAAGTATTGCAACAAATCTCATGAAAGAAATTTAAAAGATTATTTTGAATGTTTGCAGGTAGTTTTTAAGAATGGAAACTGGATGCCTGCAAAGGAACAAATAAATCAATCTCTTTGTGCCACTTATTGCTCTCCTGTCTCCAGTCTGCCTCCTTTACCTTTCAATTAGGTAGAAATGTCAGAGGTGAAAGTGCAGCCTATCACTCTGCATCTAATAACAATTATTCAGTCTAAACCATTTAAATCAGTCAACATTTTCTAAACAAAATTTTAAAAGTATGAAGTGCATTGGCTAATGCTCAGTACTAACCATCCAACCCAGAGTTAAGCATTGACAATTTTGAATATATTCCAAATATATTATCAAACAATTTGAAAAAGGTCAATTTAGCCCTATTTGGTATACAAATATATTTACATACACATATAAAGGGGTATTTGTATGTAACGTATTCCCTTAACCCTCCTGAAGAATGACAGCCCCTATTTCTAAAGCTGATCTACCTTTTAGAAGAAAGAGAGCTCCTATATGAATCTTACTATTAACAATATGAATAAATCACCGTTACAGGGGAGGAACCGGGTGCAGCAAGCATTCATAAATTCTTTAGATTCTTAGCCACATGGCACTCTTTATAAACGTTTATAGCAAGGCCTATATTAAACATCAGTTGTAATCTATGCTCCTACCAGGACCTTCAGTAGAAGCAGGAAGCTATCAAACGTGATCCAGATGGGGACAGAGCAATTCACTTCTGTTGAACCACATCCCCTTCAAGTCAGCAGGAGTCTCTCACGTTGGCCGCCCTTCAAAGCTGACGTTCTCAGTGTTCTCCACAATGGTTTCTTTTCCCCTTACAGGTGCTGCATTGTCACTGATGGGCTAACAGCCAGTGTTTTGGCTCAAGGCCTTCCTCAAGGAGGCTGGCATCTATCCAGACGATGACAATACAACACCTGTAAGAAGAAAACAGAAGTATAGAGTTTTTTTGTAAAGAGCTTTCAGTGCATTAAATGAATTTTTCACTAACTGGAATTGTAGGATTCTTGAGTGCAGTCCAGTTTTAGATGCACATGTATAAGGCACAAAAAGGAAAGCCAAAATGATCAATACTGTTCAATATTTAGCAAATTTGCTTTATTTCATGCGATTCACACTATCTAGTCATTGTTTCTTTTAATCCAACGTTGAATAGAACATTTATTTGTGGTTATGGAAGGAAAAAAAATGAATGCATATTTTGAATTACACTATATAGAACAGTTGAGTTATTTACTATCACAAATTACTTATCCATAGTGATATATCTGGCAAATTCTTGTAAAGAATTACTCTACCAAAATGGGAGATTCCATTGGCATAGTCCAACTTGGAAAGAAGTTTAAGTATACAGGTCTTTCTAAACTTTATCCATTTGTGTAAAAGGAAAAACCAATAAACAAAACCCTTAAAAGTTATAATCATGAGAAAGCAAAAAGGGGAAGTTTTCAAGTTTATGTAGTCATTCAAGTTAAAAAAAATCTAAATGTTTATTAGGCAACTCAAGGGTAAGTAAAAAGCATATTCTGAAATATTTTGAGAGATTTGCTAAAAATATTGCTTCTGAGAATGACTGCACAACTATGACAATTTTAAACAGTTAAGTGCTTGCAGTAAGACAGGCATTTATATTTATTAAAATATATAAATTAAATCCTGGGATCCTGGACCATAAAATAGAAAGTCCTCCAAATCTAGTGTCTATAGGGATTTCACCATGATTCTCAACCATGACAATCTTGGCTTGCAGGATCAGGCCACTGACATAAGGCTAGCAGCATCTTAATTATTTTAACTTAGCATTCAAAAGGGTGAACAAAACTTCACTAGGAACGATTCCATTAGAACAGGGAAAGGGAAGGCAGGTGCTTGAGCCTGGTTTTTCACTTCAAGAATTGCCTTTCAATATAAAAGAATAAAATGCTATCTAACTTTAGTTTAGGATTATTTTGATCATTTCCGAAAGAAATTAGAATGCTGTAAAAACAATGAGGAAAAATGGTATAATTTATACACAATGAGATGTAGATGTAGGCAAGGTACTTGGCATGACACTGATATTGCTTAGATGATGCTAGGTCTCCAAGTTAAGAAAAATAAAATATAAACTCTCTATGCAGGAGAAAATGTAGCAGGACTTCAATGTAGGATAGTTTATTACCTAAACAGTATGTACAAATTCTAAACATGAAAATAATGAGTAACGTTATTTTCACTCTTTACATTTACATTTTTTTTTTTTTACAAAATGTTTGTACAAGAGTATTTTTTTCCTCTAAATAACAGGACAGACACATACAAGATCAATCTTTTTGTATTACATACATAAATAAATATTGACTTTAAATGACTGTTATAAGAACATAATTTCTACAGTCAGATTGTATAACAGATAAGCATTTCTGTTACCTCTACTACAATATAATTAAGTAAAAAGGAAAAATTTTACAAATAGACCTCTTTAATTACTTTGTAAATTGTACCTTACTAATATACTCAGTAGAGGTAAGACAGTCATCACATTTCATGCCCACAACTGAACAATGAGTTTTGGCATGCAAACCCATATATAATCATCAACATCTGCAGGTATTCATTTACATTTTTTAAATAAAGGGTTTTTTAATTATTTAAAACTACATGCAAGATTATTAGCATCATATTCCTGGTTACAATGCACAAGTTTGCATAACATTATTTTTAGTAATTGATGTTCACAGGTACTGATCAAAAGGGTAGGAATATACTTGGCACATAGTATAAGAAAATGAATTAATAAATAAGTCAATATCACAACTACATTTACATATACACAAGACAAAAATAAAAATTTCTGTAGTGTTGTACACAGAATTTAAAACAGTCTGGGTCCCATACTTTGTTCTGTACGGCCCTGATTTAAGACAGCATTCAAATAAATTCTGACATCCGTGCTTTATTCAAGGCATCACTACAGCTGATTCTTAACTGTTAAGGTGTATGTCCATCCCACTGACTTTTGCGCATACGGAAGTTTTCTTTTCTCCATACCTTCCTGAATCAGGGCTTACATATCTGAAACTCTCCCTATTCCAGATGGGAACATGGAGATGAAAGTATTGCAGATTAAATTTAGTCATCATTTAGGTCTCCACCCACTCCTGCTAATATCAATTGTAAAATCCTATTAGCAATGAGTATTTCTTTGATTTTGTGTGTGACCCTGCCAAACTTTAATCTCATGTCAGCGTTGCCACAGCACGTCCTCAAATCTGTCTAAAGCCATTTAAGCTGAGGATGCTCAGCAGTTCAGAAGTCAGACCTATTAAGTGTATTAGTTCATTGTCCACATGCCATATTCTTGATGAATATTCAAGATGATACACATAGTAGCACAGCACAGGTTCTGTCTTATTGGAATTTCCCCTGCTCTATAAACATCTCAAAAACTGTCAAAAAGGAAATAACAGGAAGAAAACACTCCCTTCTTAACCAATACTCACCGTAGAAGAAAACAAAAAATTCAATTTCATAAAGCCGTTAGCAAAAATGGCATAATCCTATAACTCTCCTTTAGGGAAAAAAAATAAACAAAACGCATTTCATCCAGAAGTCACCTGACAAATCCATCAGAATCATACATAGCAAATAATACATCAGTGTAAAGGTGCAGAGTATCTATAAACATCCCAATATCTGTATTAAATCTGTATTACACAATATCGTTTGAGAAAATAAATCTTTAACTATAAATCAAGTGGTGAATTACAACTCTATTGCTGAATTAAATGCTCAGTGTGATTTAAGCTAGCTAATCAGGACAATACCCTGTACAATTCAGTAAACAAGGCTTAATGAATTAGGCACTAAACGCTTCAAATACGTACTATTAAATTCAAAGAATGATCAAAAATCACTCACATTTGGGAACTGAATGCTGAATGTCCATGCATAGGCTTGGTCCTGGTTTTGCCTTTTTTTTTTTTTTTTTTTGAAAAGTTGAAAGGTGAGATAATACAGTTGAAAGGTGAGATAATAAGCTTATCTGAAGAAGGAAAAATTAACTTTACATCTTAATGGTCTTTGTATAACACTTCACTCTATCAGTTTTTTTTTATTTTTTTGATAGCCAGAATCTACTTTAATAAGGAAAAATCCTCTATCTCTTTCAAAAATATATTATTACTTTTTAAAATTGAATGTTTCAAAAAGAGACTAACGTCAGCAAACAGAGCAATTATTTTGATCCATTTCAGAAGAACATGGCTTCCACTCAGCAATCAAGACTGATATGATCACACAGGGATGCTAACTTCCAGTATATCTCCAACTAGGTTTGGCATCACTGTAATAAAGATCGACATTCATATTCTATGCTTAGCAATGTCACTATGAATGCAGTATAATTTCATTAACATTAATCAAGTCACTACAGATTTGCTCCAGCATAACTTGAACAGATTCTGATTGAAAAGTCTGGACAGAAGTTTTCAAAGAAGCCTGAGGTAATTACTTGTCCTGATACCACTGAATCTTTCTCTCAGTGAACAACACGGAGCTTTCTTTTATCCTTACTTATGTCTCGTGCAATCTAAATACTGAAGCAGTGCTGCACACTAGTCCGACTCAAGTTATGTTTTTTCTTTGTAAAGATCTGCTGTATACGCATACATGAAACTTTCTCAGCCACACAAAAATCTCTGAAACTCTGCCTTTCTGACAAAACTGAAAATAATCCTAATACAGAGATTTTGTGAAGAAGAGATCATCTGTTTATTTGTTCATATATTTTGGAAAAGAGGACATGACACAGTAGTAGAGGAAGGAATTAAAAGCTCCATAGCCCCTAATATTTTAAAGGCCCAAACCACATAGCCATACAAATTGTCTGGAAAAGTTCATTGTCATTGGGTGCATATCAAAAAAAGACAACAAGTGAAGTGGAAAGAGAATGGCGAGGGGGGAAGAGTTCTTTACAGAGAAGACAGAAATGTAGAAAAAAATAGAATGAGCAAGCAATCAGAAATTAGTTCAGTCCTCTTGAACCTCTGTGGTATCAATCCACATGCAGCAAAAGCCATAAACATCTTCAGTATGGGGCAAACTATATTTTATTATTTTGTGAGTGCTCCACAATGATAATCATAACTATGATCCTCAGTTTCAGTCACGTACTTCTTGTCACTTTATTTGCTTTTCTTCAAATCAGATTTGTCATTGTGGGAAGGAAAAAATAACTGAACTAAAATCTGAATTCCTCTCACGGAATATCTCAGGCAGGTATGACGTAAAGGTGAGTTTGTGGCATCTGCTGGTAGAAGGTACAAAAGTGGCTACCTTGTCAATTTTCACTACTGAGCGCTTGAGGTATGTTAGCCTCATATGATGATTCAGGGAGCAATGGAATCTGTGCCAAAGAATGCAGGAGCATTTTGAACATTAGAAGTTGATTATGAGTACTTTTATGGACAATGTTTATTGTCAGATATTTTCCACCTTCTTGATAATAAATCCAAGCAGTTTCTGTTTACTTTCAAAGGATGTCTCTCTGTGTGGCAAATTATACTAGACAGTTTATACTGCACAATATGGCAATCTGCATCCCCTTATGGCTAAAAAGGACACCCTTCTGCCTAAATTTGAAAAATGCATTCAAATAAACTATAAGCCAATGATTTCCAGATGCCAGAATATTGTCACATAATTCTTTCTACAAGCAGAATAGCCAGTACATCCATCCTTCTGTTCAAAAGATCCATGGGGAAAAGAGGTATGTGCGTCAAAAGCCAAAGAAGCCAGAAGGTAGCTCTACAGCTACTTGAACAATAAACGTGCCTCAGAATTTCCATTTCTTAAATGTTAATGTTAAGTATTTAGGTTTTGAGGGGGTTCTCTTCAAGATAATAACCAAAAAAATTAGAAGTAGGATTTTAGAAGTCATTCTTCCATCAACTAGCAGAAGTCAATTGCTGTTAATTGCCACTTGTCTCTCTACAATGGTACAACTACCCTGTATATGTTTCAGCTATTAACTATTTTAATAAAAGATCTCCATGCCTCAGAACAGATGGTTGACTATGTACATGTATCATTATTCTCCTTTACAGTGATTCTGCAACTATTATATATTGACTAATTTCACCTATGTCCTTATTTCAGGCACACAGAGATCTTCTCTAACAGCAAAGAGCTACAGAAATATACTAGGACTTAAGCTGGTGAAAATGCGGAGCTTTAAGTAAAAGATATCAATTTAATACACTGATGTTCTGGCCTCCAGTGTTCAGAAGTATGTATACATCACAGGACAACTTCTCAAATATTAACATTAAAGTCAATAGGATAAAAAGCTGTATACACTGTATACCTTTCAATCTGCTTTAAACTTAGGAATACAAAAACATTATGAAGAACACACTTTTGATTTTCTCACAAGTGTTGAGTTGGATGCAATCTTCAGCTTACTGTATAGTGGTGGTATTGAAAGGATACTTGCTGTATATTTCATCCTGGTGTTGGTACAAATACAATTCTTCATGGCTAAACTACATAGAAGTAGATATAGATCCTACAGGATGGTAACTTCTACTGGAAAACTGGATTCATTGCTCCTACAGATGTGCAATTTTTCTAACCTTCATGTGGGAGCTCAGTTTTTCTCTCAGTTATTTGTGTAATCACCTGAAACAGTCTAATATTTCTCTGGGGGTGGCTTGTAGTGATGCGGATGATGTTGCTTCAGATGAGGTCCTAAAAAAAAAAAAAAAGGAAAATATGCATGCATTAACTCTTGAACGTGTGATGCAACCATACTCAGCTTTTACTGAAAAGGTCTCATGAGGCCTCCCATACGCCTTCAGCTTGTAAGGGATCTGCCTGTGCTGACAAGTATGTGCATGTTCAGTCCAGACACCTTTAGTGGGACTGTGAAAGGACAAACAGACTCATGTTGATATGACTCCTGGACTAATTCATTATATTTTTGTTGGGCTTAACAACACTGAGCTTTACTTATCAGAAACTTTTAAAATGCTGGAAATAATAGCCATTGAGAGGTATGTTCTGATTCAGAAATATTATCAGGCCTATAGCCATGCTGGACTGAATGCCCCCAAGAAAATCTAATCTTGGAAACTAAGCAATCCCAGGCCTAGATAGTATTTGGAGGACAGACCAGCTTTGAATCCCAAGTCATACAGACGTAAGCCAAAGAACTGTGGTTGCACGAATGGCAGATCTCAGACCACAGAGACTGAATGAGAGCAAAACTCCATGTGCCTCCATCACTGTCCATGGACAGATATGGAAAAAATAATATGTTAATATATGTGAAGCATATGGAATGTTACTGGAATCAGTAAAGATTCCAAGGCCAGAGTAAACTGTTTACAGTGGAAGACTGAAGTTTTATAACATCTCATCACACACCAAAATGGGGTGCTACTTACGGTGGGGTGAAAATGGAGGAAGATCAGGTGTTCGGAATGATTTTATCGTAGCTGGACCTTCACCACCAGTTGTTAGCACTTGAACTTCTAATCGGTACAGCATTGATGGTCGCAAATTGGGCACAGTCAGTACATAATGATCCTGAAAATAAATAAATCAAGTAAATTAATTCTCACAGCATCAAAAAATAAAACATGATTGCTCTAGTCACATAAATCAGTGGGTTAACCAGGCCCTGTCACTCTCAGCACTCAGAAATTATTTTCTTAAAATTCTGTTAAAAAGATTTAACATACCTATTATTTGGTTGAGTAGGTTTATTTTGAATTTTTTGCCTCTGAATACATGGATAAAAGACTGGAGTACATGAATTGAAATTAAGCTAGTTCTGAGCGCCCACCTGTGCAGTCAGTAGATTTCCTTTCCTAAATGATACTTTTTATCATAATGTTAAGATTCTAAGGCCTTCCTCAGCGTTCTCAAAAATTGATATGCTCATCATTGTAATATTATTTTTAATTTTCTATTCATTCTTTTTAACAAACAAGTTCATTGAATAAACTTGTTTTTATTTTAGATCTGTCTGTAAATTCTACTGGTTGGTAAATAAATTCATGGCACTTCAGAAGTCTCCCTTGCTCTAGCTAATGAAAATAAACGTGGCTCCACTGATTTCAGCAGATTTGTCTCAAGTTATACCATGAGGATCTGCCCTTCTGTTCTGTTCTGGTATGATAGTGAGTTGTGAAATATCAGTCTCGGCCTTACTCTTCACTGCTGTATACCTTGTGTGGTCACTTAAATCTACACAAAATAACTTCAGAGTGAGTTGATAAATGTTCCCAAATGGGCATACCTATGATTAAAGACTGAAGAGCATTAAGGAATCAAAGTCTTGATTCAGCTTACTTCAAGCTGAACAGGACTTGACAAGCACCCAGTGGACCCATCCCAGAAATCATCTGGCGGGTCAGTGACACTGAGCAGTGTGCCAACAGACAGCACGCTCTTC